CTTCAGGTCCACCATGTTGAAATCTCTCTGGTCTGTGTTCAGATGTGCGTCTTGCCAGCGTTCTCTGGCTTCAGTGTCTCCAGCAGCCGCAAGCAGGTTAAACGCAGCCTGGAGAGCCTGTTTTCATGCAAGAAAGTAAAAGAATATGAATCTCTGGTTTAAGACAAGACAAGCACAATGTTGAACGAACACACAAATAAATGAAGGGGTGAGACAAAAAACATCCAGAGGGCAAAAGATCCACAGAAATAGAGAGTGGGAGTATGTGACTGTAAGATTACTGCAAATATTATGCTTCAATATTAATAATAAAAAAAGTTTATCAAACTATGACAAATAATCTTTGGATAATTTTGAAATAAATATCAAAATGTATATTTTTTATGCATGGAATCTAGGACAGTTGCGCAGCAGGATGCACAGATCACTTCAGTTCATGTTTCAACTCAAAGAGGAGTAGACTTTTACTGTAGTAAAGTTTCAAAGATTTGCGTACTTGATAAGCAATAGAGAAATTTACATAAGCGAGCTTAAAGACCTAACATTAAAAAGTGAATAATTTTATTGTTACTTACTACTGAAGTGAAATTATTATTATTATTTTTATCAATTCATTAAAAAAATTTTTTTACACTTTTATTGTTCCTGGTCAAAAATGAACAAACACACAACATGTGACCATTTTTTTTTTCAAAACTTAGGAGGGTTAAAATTAGTCTTTTGTAATATTACTTTCACTAAACCAAGTAATTTCTCTTAATGAGACTTTAGCAACTTTAGCTCTGTCCTTCCTGTTAATTCTCTTGCCATATGTAAATAATCATGTTATAATTAATAAACTTTACCAATAATTCATCCATTAAAGCTTGACCAGAGCATATTTCTAAAAGTCTGGTATATCGTTTTAAAGGTCCCATATTGTCAAAACTGACAAAGGGTCGACACCACCTTGAAAAGGCAGCAAAAATTTGGCATTTATGTTCAACTTTTGTTTTGTTTTTGGGCATCTGGAAGGTATCTGTAAGAATGCAATCGGGGTACACTGCAGGCTGAACTCATGCATAAACATATCTGATGACAATACAGATCGCACACACATTAAGATAACTAGATTACCTGCTTTCCTGTCCAGAGAGGCACGGGTTTAAAGAGCGCGGGAGGCAGGAGCTTCACTCTGCCGATCTTGTCCGTCAGGCCTCTGTAGACTAGTGCAGTGTACTGATCCCGTGTGAAAAAACAGCCACGGATGGTCATGCTGGCGCCAGACACCATGTGGTCCTGAATCAGGCCGGCCAATGGCTTCCCATCCTACAGAAGGAGCAGAGACCAGTGAAGTGTTTTCCAAAATGAAAGACAATTCATATTTAAGTTGTTTCATTTTTCTAGATGAAGGCTCACTTTAGGCACTAAGTACTGCTGGTCTGTGCTCACTAGCGTGTAGGCCTCAGCTCTGCCCAGCTCACTCTGAGGGAAGTGAGCGTTCATCTCGTCACCATCAAAGTCAGCGTTGTAGGCCTTACAGTTGGCGTAATGTAGTCTGAGCACTTTCTCTCCGGGCAGGATGCGAGCACAGTGGGCCTGAATTGATGGTCTGTGGAGAGTGGGCTGACGGTTAAGCAGCAGCACATCCCCATTCTTGATGTGCCGATTTACCTAAGAAAGAGAATCAAATGTCAAAGGATTGCATCAA